TTGATTTTCATGAACTTTGTTTCGGTGTATTGATTGATATTAGTTTTCTGATGTAAACATGGAGCTCTGTTTTGTGAATTTGATGCACACAACTATGCAGGATTTGAAGCCGATTCTGCCACCTTTGAAGAGTAAAGAGGACATACTTCTTTTTTTCAAACAATATGACCCTTTGAAAGAGGAGCTCCAGTACTTTGCATTCTTTTCCTTGTGTTGGAGTTGCATATTGTTACTACGACCTTTCCCCTCTTATGGTTTGTTACTCAGGCTGTTTTTCTATGTTGTCAGCTATGTTGGGCGGCTGTTTGTTAAGGCCAATGGAAAGCCAGCGGAAATATTGACAAAGCTAAATGAGTTGGCTGGATTTGCTCCTGACGAAGAAATTGTACTCTTTGAGGTCAGTTGTGTTGTTTTTAATGAGCAAACTACAATTTTCTTCTTCCTTGCCTGGCATCATAGTTTGGAATTTAGTTCTGGCAGTCATCTTACTCATCCTCTTTAATGTCCAGGAAATAAAATTTGAACCTAATGTCATGTGTGAACACATCGACAAGAAGCTCACTTTTCGTGGTAGTCAGGTATGAACATGATCAATTGCAAGATGTTTCTGCTTGTATGTTGTCGTGTATATCCTTTTTCTAGTTGTTCTGCTTTCTTTGGTGGTTATGTGTTAACCATGGCTGATTTAAAGAAATTATTCACCTATTTCTTCTTCTTCTGCAGCTTGAAGATGGTGACATCATTTGCTTTCAGAAATCCTCTAAAGTTGAAAGTGGTGAACAATGCTGCTGTCTTGACGTTCCTGCATTTTTGGAATATGTGCATAATCATCAGGTATTCCATGAACCCTTTTCAATGCGACTTGGATAGCTTTTAGAACTTTTATGTGACATGATGTGTAATTTATGATCTATGAATGCCATAAAGAAAGATTTTTTTTCCTAAGAACTTATAATGAAAAGAGGACTAAATGCTTTTTTTTTTGGTTTTTATTTTCTATTTTTCTCTGTCCTCCCTGACTAAGCGATAGGTAATGGAGGACAATCCATTCAATGGGTGTTTGAAGATGATCTGATCAGATGTTTATTTTTCTGACATGGCATTCTAATTCTGGCTTGCTTCCTTGGTGTTAGTTTTTCACATGATGATGATGATTCATAGGTTGTTCACTTCCGTTCTTTGGAGAAACCTAAGCAGAATGAGTTCTGTCTTGAGTTGTAAGTTCTTCACATTCCTAAAATCTTATTGATGATAAATGCATTTAATTAAAATTGTGGTTTCTTATTTGTTATATATTTTTTTCTATATGGATTTTTATCAGAGAAATGAATTTTGTTTCCCTAGTAAATTTTTAGGTCAAAGCTTCATGATTATGATGATGTTGTCGAAAGAGTAGCTCGCCATCTTGGCTTGGATGATCCTTCTAAAATAAGGCTTACATCTCATAACTGCTACTCCCAGCAACCTAAACCCCAGCCAATTAAGTATCGAGGAGTGGAACATCTATCAGACATGCTGGTCCACTACAATCAGGTTGTTCAACATATTACTGTCACCCTGATCTAGACCTAAGACTTTATGTTTTACTTCTTCCAATTAGAATAACCACGGTGTTCTGATGGCTGATTTCCCCCCTTTCTGGACAGACTTCTGATATTCTTTACTATGAGGTATTGGATATCCCTCTACCAGAACTGCAAAACCTGAAAACTCTAAAAGTTGCTTTCCATCATGCTACAAAGGATGAAGTGAGTGTCAAATTGTAGCTGTCATTTTTTTCTTGTGTTGAATTTTTTCTTTCATTCAATCCTGGTTAACCTATTTTCAGGTAGTAGTAATTCATACTACAAGTTTGCCCAAACAAAGCACTGTAGGAGATGTTATTAATGACATTAAGACAAAGGTAAAACCTTCGTTTCTGGTGGAACATGTTTTGCATATTTTTGCATAGATGTGCCTCTATTGATTGGATTACGATGATATTTTTCTGACCTCCGTGCAAAAGTATACTTTTTCTTGTATTTACAATTACATAAATTTGTTTGAGAATCATTTAATTTTGCTCGCAGTTCATATTCTCATCGTGCTTTTGACAAAGAATCCACTCACCCTGATAATTTGTTTTGTAACAGGTCGAGTTGTCTCATCCAAATGCAGAACTTAGGTTGCTTGAAACAGGCTATCACAAGATCTACAAGGTATTATAATGTTTCAAGGTAGTGTTGTTACTTTCTGAAGTAAACTTGGTAAGAGGTCATTGAAATGAAACATCTTGCTGGATGGTCTGTGGTTGATGTTGTTCCTTTCTACATGCAATTTTTTTATTCTTTGTTTCTTTTTCTGTGACCTCAGTTGCATGAATTTTTTTTTTTTGATTAGTGCTCAACAAGAAAATGTGATTACTTGGTTGATGATGGTTACTGCTCCACTTATGTCTTACATTTGTTTTCTATGGATCACCTCAGGAAGTTGTCGAGTTGTGATTTCTAATTAATAAAGGTTCTGAATTTACTTTGAAAAGTGATTGTTACTAAAGTTCTTTGTACATAGTGATTTATGATATGTATTTGGAATTTTCTGCTAGGCTATAAAACCATTATAGAATCTACCGAGGACAAGCAATGATTTGTGCCTAGCACTGATTCTTGCATTATCTGAGACCTTTCCTGTGTCTTGTTATCTTATTCTGCCACCATTTTTTGTTTTGGTTTTTCGTTTTTTTTTTTTTTGGGCAGATTTTTCCGCTTAATGAGAAGATTGAGAATATTAATGATCAATACTGGACATTACGTGCAGAGGAGGTAAAATTTAAATTTTTTTTAAGGCTAATTTATATGCTGGCACTAATTTTCTTTATATATATATATTATTTTCCATAGAGTTTTTTTGGTTAAAATGAATTGGAAATGAAATTAATCATTTTTACATGGGTAAGTAAGCAAAAAGAAAATTCATTTTTTAGACAAATACCATTTCATTTTCTTATCATTAACATACTGATGCAGAGTATAAGAAGCTCAAAGAACGTTAAATTCAAAGAAGTAATGATATTTGGACATTGGCATGATTTCAAAGAGAAATTGATACGAATCTTATATAATTATGTTTCTAGTATTATTAGAGTCTTATTTTATTATAATTTTTATATATTCTAGGATTTTTAAGGTTAGGGGTATTTTGGTAATTTTATATTTGCTGACATGGGTCATATAGGTCACCTATGGGTCATCTTGTGGGTTAAGTTATTTAATTGAATTTTGTTTTTGTTTCTTATTTGGTTTTAAATTAGTTTTGGAAGTCTAAGATATTATATTAGTTTTCTTTTTTGGTTCTAGTTGGTTTAGGAAGTCTTCTATCCTAATCCTGTATAAAGCCTTGTAATGCTTATAAATAATTAATGGAGTTGATATTTTTATAAAATGTTTGAGAGTTTTGAAGCTTCTTTATGGGTTGTGTGATGCAATCAAACCCTAGGTGTGATGCCCAAGGGATTCTAGGAGTGATTCCTAGACCTATCTTCTTCTCCTCCTTTCTTTCTATCTTTTTCTTTTCTTTTCCTTTCTTTCTTTCTTCAATTCCTGTAGCCTGTTCACAGCACCCTAAGACTATGAAGCATAGACACGGCAAAATCAGCGTCGTGGCGGTGTCGGACACGGGGACACGCCGGGGACACGGGGACACGCCGGGGACACGGGGACACGCCGGGGACACGGGGACACGCCGGGGACACGGGGACACGCCGGGGACACGGGGACACGCCGGGGACACGGGGACACGCCGGGGACACGGGGACACGCCGGGGACACGGGGACACGCCGGGGACACGGGGACACGCCGGGGACACGGGGACACGCCGGGGACACGGGGACACGCCGGGGACACGGGGACACGCCGGGGACACGGGGACACGCCGGGGACACGGGGACACGCCGGGGACACGGGGACACGCCGGGGACACGGGGACACGCCGGGGACACGGGGACACGCCGGGGACACGGGGACACGCCGGGGACACGGGGACACGCCGGGGACACGGGGACACGCCGGGGACACGGGGACACGCCGGGGACACGGGGACACGCCGGGGACACGGGGACACGCCGGGGACACGGGGACACGCCGGGGACACGGGGACACGCCGGGGACACGGGGACACGCCGGGGACACGGGGACACGCCGGGGACACGGGGACACGCCGGGGACACGGGGACACGCCGGGGACACGGGGACACGCCGGGGACACGGGGACACGCCGGGGACACGGGGACACGCCGGGGACACGGGGACACGCCGGGGACACGGGGACACGCCGGGGACACGGGGACACGCCGGGGACACGGGGACACGCCGGGGACACGGGGACACGCCGGGGACACGGGGACACGCCGGGGACACGGGGACACGCCGGGGACACGGGGACACGCCGGGGACACGGGGACACGCCGGGGACACGGGGACACGCCGGGGACACGGGGACACGCCGGGGACACGGGGACACGCCGGGGACACGGGGACACGCCGGGGACACGGGGACACGCCGGGGACACGTACGGGACACGCCATCTGCCGTGTCCCTTTAATTTAATTGTTTTTCTTGTAGGGGACACGCGTGTCCAGATCTGGACACGGCGTGAGACGCGGCAAGTAGGAAGAGACAAAGGAGAGAGTGTGAAGGAAGAGAGTGAAGAGAGACAAACCTGTCGAAGATCGAAGCTCCATGAATCCAGTCGAAGATCGAAGCTCCAAGCTCCATCAGTCGATCGAACACCCCAGACGATCGCGATTGACCTCCATCCATGACCTCGACCTTGACTCGCCTGTCGATCTTCATCAGTAAGTCTCTCTCTCTCTCTCGTCCCTCTCTCTCGCCTTCCTTCTCGCTCGCGTCTCTCGCCCTAGCTCTTGCATCGATCGCGTCGATCGCTCTCTCTTCCAATCGCGTCGATCGCCCTCTCTCTCCTCTGATCTGATTCGATGACCTACAATTGGAATTAAATACAATGGCATTTGAAGATAAGTTTGAGAATTTTGATGAGATTTTGGTACAAAATACGCTTGACGGCTTCATTTTGGGCTTGATCTCCCCTCCTTTTAAAGGGATTCCTTCGTATTTAATCAATAGTGAATGGAGGGTTGTGTCACAATGTGCTATTTATAAAAAAAAAATAAATAAATAAAAATCCTCTTTCTTTTTTGAGGACACATTGTTCTCTCTCATTTGTAGTTTCTTTCCTTCTTTTACCAATACAATTTTCTTTTGTTGGTGATGAATAAAAAAAAGTGCTACTATTAGCATCCCATCAATAATTTTAGACCCCCATTTCTCTAGACCTCCACTTATAAATTATAAAACCTTTAAAATTTATTCTCTCTTTCCAAATAATACCAAAATTATCCTTGTAAAAACATTACACCCATTCAAATGCACACCCCCACACCCCAAAAAGCCTATCTCCCAAAACCCTAACAAAACCCACGACGGTGGAACCTCCCAAAACCAATGCAAAAAATTTGTGTGATTAAGAAGTTTTTCTCTCTACTTCATTACGAGATTTATCAATTTGTTTGGTTTTGTTTTTTTTTATTACCTCTTTTCAAACACACAATCCACTTTCATACTTCTCTAGTTGGTTTTCTGTCATTCATTCTTTGCCTCACTATACTTGTGACCAAAACTAGGTAGGATTTCACCCTCCGGTCAACCGGCCAGTCGACTACCCAAGGGTGGTCCGACGTCCTTTGTTTGCCGGCTTCTGCTGCTGCTTCGATTATCTGTTCCTGAACAAATAAGAAATGTTCAGTTACCTGTTCCTGAACAAATAAACAATGTTCGAGCTTGTATTCCTGAATTTTGGTTATATGTTCGAGAGTTCAATCCCGAAAAAATGGCGAACAATTTTTATTATTTTTACCATTTTTTTCCAGAAACTTACTTTTACAAAGCCAATCTCCTCTGAGTTAAGAACATCATCAAAGCCATGAACCTCTTCTAAGCTTTTATTGTTGTACTCCTCTCGTCTCATGAAGTTGTGGTTATCTCAAAAACTTCCACTCATTGTCATTACCGAAGAAGTATATGTAATCAAATTGTTATCAACATTGTCACTGAAATATTGCCGCCAAAGGGTTTTCAAGACTTTGAACGTGAGTAGGTTTTGAAGGTGGGATTTGGGAAAGATGTAGTACGTATGTAGGGTTAATTGTGAGATGGGGTGTCTCAAAATTATTGATGTTATTTTTAGTAATTTCACTTGAGGTTATTATTGTAATAAAAAAAATAAAAAATAAAAAC